GTTATTCATAAAAAAAAGAAAGAGATGAATAAGATAGCACATGTTTTCTTACAAATATTTCCAAGTATCCAAAGGGAGATATGTTTTCAAGGAGCATAGTAGAATTAGGTTAGCCACCATATATATCCAGCATATATTCCACACTTGATTTGATTGTATGACCCAACTCTGTTTGGATCTGAGGTTTGACTTTACAATATATGTATTGCAAGAATGCTCTTTCATGCTATCACCATTCCTATGAGCTCCACATAAGCCTTAGTTGTAGGAAATAAGAGGCATAACATTACTATTACCTTGGTGAGGATCCATAAATACCACATATTTTGAGAGATTTGAGAGTGTCATAAAATGGAATCTCTGAGTTTTATTTTGAAAACTTGCAAAAACTCTAGAATATTGGTTGAACAAAGAACTTGAGAAATAGTGCTTGACTTAATCGTTCTGTCTTTCAATTACTCAAGACCCAAGTGAAGGCTACAAGCCCCATAGTTGAAGGTAATATGGGTAAGTTTGAAAGACAGATCAGTTTGTTCTAATCCGGAGGAGAATTCTTGTTTGAATGCATGTGTACTTTTGAGGAGTTGCTACAATGTTCTCAAAGATCCTAAACTCTTGATCCATTGATAAGTTTGGCTTTGCTCAGGAACTAGCAAAGGTTAAGCTTGGGGGAGTTTATTGCAGTAGTTATCATACATTATAAACTTTAATATAACTTGAAATAATGCATGAAAATGATCACCAACATAGACTTATGGGGTTTAAACTAATAATTTCCATAAGTTTTGGTGAATCTGTGTTTTCAGCAGGGTTATTTTAGAAAACCGTCAAGGGGGGTCAAAACGTCAAATAAAATCACGCTTATCCGCGGTGAAACCAACTCTAGAAAGTTCTAGAGGACTCTAGAAACCACGTCACCGAAGCAGAGGACGAGAGGGTGACAGGTGGGGCCGCTCGACCCCTGGGGTCCCACCTGTCAGCCCTGTTGCTACGTCGGTTCTCCACCGCCTTAAGGATTGCATCTACGCCGCCTATTCAAGTTGGTTTGATCCGAGGGCTCATATTGGAAGTTCCGGCCTATATAACCAGCCCCTGCCCCCCTCCAGAGCACGTTGCCATAACCTAAGATCAGACTAGAAATTAGGGTTTCTAGACAGAAGAGAGTAGAGCTCTAATTCTTCAAGTTTCTAGTATGGGCTAGCTAGCAAGGTTCAAGTAGAGTGTGGGCTATTGCTCAGGATTCCGGATCTGCCGTCTGAAGACTGGTATAGCCATTGTATCTCTATATTTATGACTTTGTGCTACTTCAATATTATGTTGCTATTTATTATGTTCCTAGTTTTCTCTAGTTATATGCTTGATATAGTTATGATTGATGATGAATTTATGCATATGTTCGCAAAGCTCTTAGCTCTGTACTTGAGTGAGTTAAGTGGTCGACATTATGTAAGCATGGTGCTTAATTATTGTTTTCCTGCAGATGCATTCTGTAGTCTGGGTCATGTGGTAGATCACAGATGTGACACTCCCGTTGAGTCCTTTGTTGTCCACTCCCATTTGTAGAGCAAGTAGAACGTGGTTGCAAAGGGAGACAAGCTTTGTTCTTGATCTTCCTTGGTAATGTTCCTTATATATAGATCCAAAGTTAGTTATACTATAGATGAGAGTGTATGTACTTGGGTGTACAAAAGACTAAGTAAATAAGGAATAACTTAGGAATCTTTTGCTCTTAACGAATCTCCTGCTTAGCCATACTACATTTTATGAGTCTCTATTTCTATCTTTGGAATACCATTATTACCTCACACTTATCATTTATTTATCCCTTGACTTACCCCTGCCATAGCATGAGAGTGATTTTATCATAAGTATATATATTTGTCAATATCTCTATGCCAACACAACTCCATAGCTCCTCCCTATAGATAAAATATAAATAAGGATACTTGGTACACTCCTGGGTGAAATGCTACAATGGTACATTATCTGTGCGCTTGCTAATTACTTAGTATATATATAAATTTACAAGTGTTCTTAATAATTACCAACAACGCATTTCTGGCATCATGCTAGCGATGACAATTTAGTAAAGAGTGAAGCTAATTAAGAAATGTCAACAGTATCCATCAGCCCCAAGGCACCAGCATAGGATGAGGCCATTGCAGCAATATGAGACAGCTACATTTTCAATGTTGCAGGGCAAGAATTCCAAGGAGTGGGGGTGTACACCACGAACGACGTTGGTGAAGTTTCGATTGTTGTCCTCACTATCATAGAAGAAGCTGGCCATAGTCTGGGGTAGCTTCTTATGGTTGTTGGGGTCCGAGATGAGGTTTTTCCAGGAGCGACAGACACATTTGCAGCAGAACAAGGAGTGGGCGAGGAGGCGGCGTAGGATCTCGAAAACGACATCCTCCATGAGGCTGGCTAGTGCGTTCCTCTTGTTGGGGGCCTCCTTCATTTCGTCAGTGTGCAGTACAATGAGAGCTTCCTCAGTGATCTCTGAAGAGGAAATTAATCCAACAAAGATCCATTAGTGAAGTCCACAACTCATACCAAAGTATAACTTTAACAACCATTAACAATTTTTATGGTACAACCTCATGTAAATTTAGAGTAGCACTACATAGATATATATAACTCAAACTAGAGTAGCAGTTAATGGAGCTGTAACCATTACAATTTTAGCAGTTAATTGAGCTTCCTCAGTTTTCAAAAGTAGAATGTTAGTGAACAAGTGGTAGTGATCATCATTGGCATCAGTAGCAACATGTGCAGCTTAAACATTATTGACCTCAGTGATGTGAATGATGGACACAAAGCATTGATTTGCTTTCGATGCCTTCCTCTTGTTTGGAACCAAATGGATAACTTGATTGTCAACAAGGAGAAGACATAGAAAGCAAACATATGAGTTGCATCCTAATACATCCAACAGCCATGTAGACATCATTAGCACAGAAATGTGGCCTCAGATATGTTACAAGTACAAAATACCATAAGAACTCACTGGTGGCACTGGAGCATACAAAACAGAAATGTAGAATCAAGCAAGCACTGGACAGAAAAAATAGTTTAAGGTAGAAGTGAAGGGCCTAAATGTTTGCCTAGATAGATAGGTATAATTAAGCAAGCACTTGATAATTAACAGGCCTAGTTGCACACACGCATTTACAGTAAGAACACTAAACATATGAAGAAAACCAAGACGCCAGCAGAAAACCAACCAGTGCCACCTCCTAGTTCTTTTCATCAGCATTGGCCTAACCAGATCTGTAATGCTACAATATTTCTTGTATACCTCATGTTCAAGCAAGGACCAAAACAGTGAATCGAACAGGAAAAGGAGAGAAAGGAGACCTACGGATCGGATCTGTCGCCTCTGCCGCAGTACACGACGGACATGGACGCCAATGCCACCACGCTCCACCAGGAAGACCCGCTGCCTAGCCTCCAAAAGGATGCCTGAACCACCATAGCACACGGGGATCCTCCGCTGCCGCTGCCACCGCCGCAAGTCCAACGGGCATAGATTTGTTTCCACTTGCAGGGGATACATTCAATATATAAGTCAACCTGTCCACACAGAGAACATATACTACTATTAGGACTCCAGAGACATGTCAACATAACCAAGCGTCTAGCGCAATGGTGAAGACGGTCTATTGCTTGATATGGGTCCCGGGTTCGACTCCGAGGTCTCATGGTTTTTTTTAGTTTGAATTTATTAAACCTCGATAGCAACAAGTGACACGCAAGCCATTGGGTCCCACAGGTCGGATAGAAATGGAGAAAGGTCCCATAGGTACACGTGACACGTAAGTCATCGGGTCCCAAAGGTCGGATGGTCCCCAAGGTACACGTGACACGCAAGCTGTCGGGCCCCATAGGTCCGTCGGGTCCCACAGGTCAAATGGAGATGGAGAACGGTTCCACAGGTACACGTGACACGTATGACGTTAGGTCCCACGGGTTGGATGCTGAAGGGTCCCGCAGGCACAAGTCGTGTCGAATGGAGAAAGGACCGAGCGGAGACTTTTATGACAAATTGCAAGTGTCATGGATGAGTAACTGTAGGTCCCATAGGTACACGTCGGATGGAGAAGGGTCCCACAGGTACACATCGCATGGAGAAAGGATCAAGCGGAGACTTTTATGATGAATTGCAAGCGTCACGGATGATGAACTATAGGTCCCAGAGGTACATGTCGGATGGAGAAAGTACCGTGTGGAGATCTATGACAAAGCGCTGTTCATTACAGATCGAATATTGTTCGTCACAGATGTGTAATTAGTTCAATGATGAAGCCCTGTTCATCACAATATTAAAGGAGGTCATCACAGATGGGTCACGCGAGTGATCTATGACGAAACCCTATGCTCTTCTATGACGTTTTTCGTGACGATGCCTGATTTTGTTATAGATAGGGAGGGTTGGAGGATCGTCACCACTGATCTATGACGAAACAGAAATATTCATCATAAAAAGCACTCTTCTAAGACGGTTTCAGATTCGTCATTAAGATTTTCGTCATAGAAGTGGATATTTTTAGTAGTGAAATTATGCTTGGGTTAGCTTTTACAAGGTGGACACAATGCAACGGCCAAGGGTACGGTAGTAATCTTCCTCCCTTGGCCAACTACTCTAAAACCCTAACCGACCAGGTGGACCTGCCGCCGTCTCTAGGCTGGCTCCTTGCTGTGGCTTGTGCAGAGCCTTTGTGCGCCCCAGACGAGGCTCCGCCGTCTGCCATCGGCTAGCGCTCCTCTTGCAGCTGCCCCTCAGTTGGAAATGATGAAACTTCACGTACAATACCTAAAAACAAAGAACACATGATGAACAGAAACCCTTGCGGTGAAGGTCGTGCTCCGTCGCGAGGGTTGTTAACCTGGCGAGCGAAAGGTCAAGCGTAGGGTAGGAGCTGTGCCAGGATAGTGTCCCCCGACAGCTCTCTTCTTTCAAGCATTTGCAGGGAAGATGACCAAGGCGAGGGTGGTACATGGCAGGAGAACACAAGGCCGACGGAGGTCCAGGAAACCCTTGATGGGCCTCACAGCCGTCGAAAGAGAAAGCGCCCACGGGGCAGGAGTTGGCGATGCTGGTGTCTGGGGGTAGTTGGCTAGGGTACGGAAAGTTACCTTTCTACCCCGGGGTGCCATGTTGGCAATCATGACGACCGGTCAACCCTTATGTAATTTCCCATCGCCCCAGGCTATGCTCTATAAATACCCTAGGTCACAATGCTTTAAAGGACAGGTTTTTTAACAATTAATGGGCATTTATTCCACAATTAATTTCTCATTTCCCTCCCTTTGTTACCTTCGGTCTGGATTATACTTGACCCCTGTGGGAAATCCTCCTCCTCCCCCGCCTAGTCTCTAGCGAGGGTGGGAGGCCAGGAGTAACCCCATAGTTGGCGCTATCCGTGGGGACCCCATCACACCCCGTCCATGGGGAATTATTTTATGAGCACCATAAATTGGAAATAATGAAATTTCCCTTTACCGTCTCAAAAACTGAATCATTTTTGTATGTGTATATTCTTAGGCCTAATCATTGGCTTAGGACTTGGGAGTGGTGCAACGGTTCTCGTTCTAGCCATAAGCACCACATTACTGATACATAAAGTCAAGGCAGAAAGAAAGAAGAGGCTAAGGCAAAGATTTTTCAAGCAAAATCGTGGGCAGTTGTTACAACAATTGTTATGTCAAAGAGTAGATATAGGAGAAAGAATGATCATTACACTAGAAGAGCTCGGGAAAGCCACTAACAACTTTGATAAATCTCGTGAGCTTGTTGGTGGAGGACATGGCATAGTCTACAAGGGAATTTTATCAAGTCAACATGTTGTTGCAATTAAGAAGGCAAAGATCGTGATACAAAAATAAATCAATGAGTTTATAAATGAGGTTGCAATTCTTTCTTAGGTAAACCATCGAAATATTGTGAAATTACTTGGATGTTGCCTTGAGACTAGAAGCCCCATTACTTGTTTATGAGTTCATATCCAACGGAACTCTTTACAAGCATCTTCATGTCAGAGCTCCAACATCAATTTCTTGGAAAAATAGGCTTAGGATTGCTGTTGAAATTGCAAGAGCTCTCACATATCTTCACTCCTTAGTCTCTACGCCAATAGTCCATAGGGATATCAAGTCCCTTAATATACTTCTTGATGATAATCTAACTGTTAAATTGTCAGACTTTGGAGCTTCAAGATATATTGCTATTGATCAAGAAGGGATACATACAAATGTACAAGGGATGTCAGGGTATTTGCATCCTATGTACCATAGCATGGGACTCCTTACCGAGAAGAGTGATGTCTATTGTTTTGGTGTGATCCTTATAGAGTTGCTTACCAGAGAGAACCCAAATTGCTATAGATCCCATCAAGGTTTTGCTCTTGTTAACCATTTTTGCAGTTTGCTCTCTCAAGGAAACTTAGTCGAGATACTAGATCTGCAAGTCGCCAAGGAAGGAGGTGGAGAAGTTGTTGATGTTGCCCTATTGGCAGCAACATGTGTCAAGTTTAGAGCTGAGGAACGACCAATGATGAGGCATGTTGAGATGACGCTAGAAAGCATCCAAGCTTCAAAGGAGTTTTCTAGCGATGTGACAGATGACGATATATCTAGTGAAGACAATATCCTTTAGGTGAGGAGTTGGGATTAATTTAGGTTGCATCTGAGGAAAATTTGTTAGATGTTCGCATGGTAACCTTGATCTTGCTTCAGTTTGTTAAGAGTCACAATGCATGTGTGAGACATATCGCCAGTGGTAGGTTCGATCTTGCTTCAAAGGAGTTGCTTCGGTTTTTCAGTGATAGGCAATAATATGCCTATTGACAGTGAGGCATGTGTGGTGACTATGTCAATTTCAAAATCTGTTGGCATAGTATTCGAAGGTGCTCATAAAGACAGTGTTTTCATGTGCGTGCGTTTATAGTGATGAATGTATGTACATGTTTGTGGGCGCCTGTGTCTCTACTATATGATTCACAGCTGAAAAAGTGGTGGTGACTAGTGAATCATATATGTTTGTATTCACAAGATCAATAATCCCATAATTTCGTGAAGAGAACTAATCATTCAGCAGTGTGACAGTTCAATATGCCAACGCGTGTCGAGCACATCATTGCTCGGTATATTTCCAGAGTACTCTATCCATCCCAAATCATAAGTTATTCAACTTTCCTGGAGAGTCAAAGTATCTCAAGTTTGACCAAATTTATATAATAAAATAATAATATTTATGATATCAACTAATTATCATTAGATTCTTTATTATTTATGTTTTCATAGTATATCTATTTGATGTCATAAATCTTTATAATTCTCACTATAATTTTGATAAAACTTAAGATGCTTTGACTCTCCAAAATAGCTGGAATGGCTTATAATTTGGAACGGAGGGGGTAATATGTAAAGCTCTTTTCGTGGAAACAAGAAGTCACGTTTTCATTTTTGTTTTACTTCCCCGAGAGATGCAATTGGGAAAATGTGAAGAATCATGACGCAAGCATGCAATAAGCACATATATATGTAGTATTTCAGATCTGTACACATTGTCCAGCACTCCAGGAGGCCGTGTAAACTCAGGAAGTAATTAATAAAGGAAAATGTAAATCAAAAGACGTCGACTTCGCCTGGACAAAGCCAGCAGCTAGCAGCAATCCCACCAAACTTTTCTAGGCTAGCCGCTCCATCCACCCGGACGACGTACGAGCGAGCGCCTGCTGGTCCCTCCCTGGTGGACCCTAGCTCGTATCCGGTGTCTCTACATACACACGCTACTAGCTGCTAGTGCTAGGGCTTGTGGAGGATGCCCCTGGCGTACACGGCGGCCTCCACGAGGGTGGTGATCTCGTCGGCGACGTCCGTGACGTTGCACCGGTTCCCCTGGAACGTGGCCGCCACCGCCGTCGGCCTCGCCGCCGCCACGCAGTCCAGCAGGCTCTGGTTGCACCACAAGTTGAGGTAGTCGTCTGCATTGCATGCGTTCCATGCACGCACGCACACACAAGCAAAGAACACATCAGTTAATTAAAGCAGCAGGCAGGATGAAAACAAGGAAAGAGATCGAAGAGAGATCTTGTACTACTCGATCGATCTTGGAATAAATGAACCAAGAATGCTTGTGATGGAACAATTGTTGCATATATGTATTACGTACTGTCGGTGGCCTGGACGCAGGCGTCGTGGAGCATGCAGCAGGCGTCGATGGCGTCGCAGGGGGCCTCGCCGGGGCACCCCGTGTAGGACACGCCGCAGTACTTGCCGTAGCGCATCAGCGGCGCTGCTCATCATCGATGTCAAAAACATACATACAGTCAGTTGCATGCATTGGTTCCACGCACGCAACATTCAGACACGCAACTAATACGTACCCGTGCAGTGCTGGGACTCGCACGCTCGGCTGCACTCCTGCACGCGGATGCACACAGATGGATCATCGCATTGCAATGAGTATATATATACATATGCGTCCATGCTTCATGGACTGAAAGGTATATATATGGGTCAGAGCCGATACCGAGTCCTCGTCGCCGCCGCCGAAGATGCTGCCGGCGGCGGTGGGCGACTGGCTGCTGGCGACGGCGAGCAGCAGGATGAGAAGAGGAGGAAGAAGAAGACGACGATGACAATGACCAGTACTCCACCGCTGTTTCAGGGGATAACGGACGACGGCGAGCTCCCTTCTTCTTCCGTCCATTAATGGACAAGTAGTCGTTGGTGATTCGGAGAAGGGATTGGGCCGGGGAGTGCTGCTCAATGGATCAAAGGCTGGGTACTTGCTGCGTTTCGGCGATTTTCTTGCAGCATGCAGCAGGTTTATTTGAGCTGCTGAATGAAAGCTAAATATGAACGAATTATTAATAGGGGATTATAAGTGCGAATTTAAGTTTGGTGCGGGTTGGTTGGGAAAAATGCAGCTGTTCGAAGTAGTCCACCAGTTGCTTCGCACAATAAGCTGATGGATGGAGGATGGCCGATGGCGACGACTCGACGGAGAACCTCACCGAACTAACAATATTTTGTTGCTTTGTTTCCCTCTACTCATCGTGACGTTAAGTAACAGTACTTCAACTACTGGCTCGTGCTTGAGGCTTACTTAATCCGGAGATGAACTGGCGGCGTGTCAGCATACGCTCCAGAATTTCAGTACGTTAGCTCAACTGCAAGAGCTAGCTAGCGGACCAACGCTCGCTCAGGGTGGTTGCCCGCCCGGTGATCTATCAGAATCTGAGTCTGATCTCCACGTGACCACGCGCTGCTTTGTTGCTCTTTGTTTGCCGGGACATGTTGCCTATGCCTCGTTGCATGTCCTTGTCTAGTTGCCGTTTTCTGGGGGCACTGATCATTACGGCCAAAGTTTGGTTCAGTAATTTGATCATTCCTTTGGCAGCCAAGCAAAAAAGCTTTTGCCAAACAACTCTTTATTTAGGCTACCCTAGGGAAGTTTTAGCACGCACAGATTTGGACCGTAACCCAAAGTGGGCTACAAGGTTTTCTGGGCTGGGCCGTTAATTTTTCACCTTTCTGAATAGAAATTCAATGGGCCTTTGATCCACGTGGCCACCAAGGCTTGGCTTTCCTATGGTACAAATGAGGAGCCCTTTGTAGAGATTCTTGAGCACTCCTGAAGCTGTTTCGGGGTTTTCCCTATCAAACCCGTCAAAACAGAAGTGCTCCTCGTGAGGAGCTCCCGAAATCAGGCTACGAGGTGTCAGATGAAGCTGAGAAAAGGAGCTTGCACCAGTTTCCTACCTATCCGCTGAGTCAAGATCCCCTTTTGCCCTCCTGCACCAAGCTGAGTAGCAGATCGAGGTGGGGCAAAGTCGCCGGTGTGGACCTAAATCACGGCGCAGATGGACCAGAGCAAAGTTGTCGAGCCGCGTGTGTGACGCACGGCGTCGGGAGTCGTCGGAGCGCGCGCGGACCAGAGCACGTCGAGACCCATGAGACGCGTGACGACACCGGGCGTGGTGCATTGAAGGACGGGGACGCTGAGGAGTGAGCGGACTCCAAGGACGACGGGGCGTGGAGCTACCGAATTTTTTATTTTTTTAGCTCTTTTTTTTTAAGTTTTTCACAAATACGCCCCTGAAGAAAAGATTTCAGAATCTGGACCCTTAGCTCGGCGCCATCAATGCTGGCGCCAAACTAACACGTCTCGGCGCCAGCGTCCCTGGCGCCAAGCTCTTTGGCTCGAGACCCACATGGAGGTGACAAGGCAGGGAGCTTGGCGCCAGTCACCCTGGCGCCGAGCTCGGCGCCGTAGATCTTGACGCCGAGCTCGACGCCGTAGATATTGGCGCCGAGACTTTATTACGTATGGGTCCCGCCCCTCTCTTCCCCTCTTCCTCTCCCTCTCCCTCTCCCTCTCTCGCCCGAGCAGAGCAGAGCAGCGCCGCCGCCGCCGCCCGCGCACGCGGCTCCACCGGCCGCCCTCACCCGCACGCGCCTCGCCGCGCCCGCGTATGGACGGCCGCGCCGCGCTACCACCGCACCCGCTCCAGCCGCCCCCGCGTCGTGCCGGTGCCCGCGCCGCCCCCTTGCGCCCGTGCCCCGGTCCCCTTGCCGGTCCCTACGCCCGTGCCGCGCCCTCGCCTCGCCCGACGTGCCGCCTACGGCCGCCTTGGCCGCGCCTCACCGCGCCAGTGCCGTGACCGTGACCGTACCGCCCGCCCCCACCGGCCTCGGCCGCGGCTGCCGTGCCACCCGTGCCCGCCGAGTCGGACTCGCCGTGCCACCCGTGCACCTATAGCGGCCGGCTGTGCCACCACCGCCCCAGCTCGTCGGCCTGACCCATGCCCGGCGTCCGCTGCGACTCCGTCGACGTCCGCGGGTCAGTCGTTGGAAAGGTAAAAATTGTGAATATGCAATGTACCTACATAGTTAGCATTTGTTATTTACTAGTTAATGCGATGACTCAGGTAGTTGATTTAGTTATTGATCTAGTGAGATATATATGTAGATAGATAGAAACATAAATACATAGGTACATAGATATAGTTAGATAGCTACTTAGATAGGTAGTTACATATTTAGTTAACTAAATAGGATCTAGCTGTTATCTTATTTACTTAGTTTGTAGTTAGAAGGTACTTGTTAGATACTATGTACCGTCTAATTTGGACTAAAGGACATGTGTTTCTTTATGTGTTTGAACTAGATGGACAACCTAGTGACCATATGTCATGGAGGCACCGTTGAATACGATTGCTATGGATATGTTGAGTTTGTTGACATGCAAAGCGTGCCTATGCTATTCAATGATAGGCCTTCATTTAGTGAGATGGTTGCAAGATCTACGGCGCCGAGCTCGGCGCCAGGGTGACTGGCGCTGAGCTCCCTGCCATGTCACCTCCACATGTGTCTCGAGCCAAAGAGCTCGGTGCTAGGGACACTGGCGTCGAGACGTGTTAGCTTGGCGCCAGCATCGATGGCGCCGAGCTAAGGGTCCAGATTCTGAAATCTTTCCTCTAGGGACGTATTTATGAAAAACTTAAAAAAAAGAGCTAAAAAATAAAAAATTCGGCGTGGAGCTACCGGACCAGGCGGACGCCGAGGACACCGAAGCACAGGCGCACGTAGGACAGGGACACTTTGGTGCGGCCACACGGAGCTACAAAGTTGATTGTTTGGTTTAAGGATGGCAACGGGGCGGTTTCGGGTCGGATATCCGCGGGTTTCGGGTCTTACGGGTTCGGGTTCGGGGATGATTTCTCACCCACGGTTTTCGGGTTCGGGGCCCTGAAACCAATCAGGTTCGGTTTCGGGTTTGGTTTTCCACCCGTGGATATCCAATGGATATCCAAAATAAATCATTTCGAATTAAAACTCATGTTTTATAATATGCTAATAATAACTTGTTTACTTATATTATTAAATTTATTCTAAGTTAACTCATGAAAATATTTATTATTTGTTGCCTCTTGTTTATACATGTGAATATGTGTATATATATCATGCATATGTTTATAGAAAGTCCTTGTTTCTCTTACTATGTTGTCATACAAAGCGGGTTTCGGGTATCCATTCGGGTTTCGGGTATCCGCGGGTTCGGTTTTGGGGACGAATTATCACCTGAATCGGTGTTCGGTGCGGTTTTGGGTTTCGATTTCGGGTTTCGGGTTTGGGTGCACAGAGACTCCACCCGATCCAAATCCGTCCGTTGCCGTCTCTAGTTTGGTTGATGGGATCTTTAATGCAACCCTGGCTCCGTGCGTGCAAACGATGGCAACATGCAGCATCCTGCAATGTCCTCGGATGGAGCATATCTGTTGGGCCTGGCTCTGTGCAAGTTGTATACTGCAAAGGCCCCACACGTCATTGGTACATGTCCGTTCTAATACATACAACCGAAAATCGTCTCAACATCTTGTATTCGCTCAAGCAGACTTAGATTCGGCCCACCAAACATAGACTCAACTCACTTTTGCGTTCGTAGCTGCAACAAACCAGACACTCATCCTTTCTAAAATACGGATGACCATAGCTTCCATCCATTCATCCTGACATCGTGTGGAGGAATCTGAGGCATGTCCGCAGAGGCCTCACGAGTCGTAGAAGATAATGATAAGGAAAAAAAAGGAAAAGAAAGGGTGAAGGGAAAAAAAAAGGTATTTTGGATATTTTGTCCTTTTATCTACTATACGATAAGTTGTTTTACCAAACACTTCAATAACACACAGCTATCCCCACCAGTTAAGCTGTTCCTAGAGGTGAAGTAAAAAAAATCTATTTCACCAATAAAGCAGAGTTGTACCAAATATATCCTTTTCTCCCCCATGCCACTCGCAATGCTATTTTTACATATGTAAATATCAGTACAACAAACGAGCAGGATGCACCAATAGCCCTTTCTGGATTTGGGAAAGTTTTCTAAGGTATATATAATACTCGCGACCATTCATTTCTCTTACATTATTCTATTTCATCTGTGTAGTAGTAGTAAAAACATGTGTTGAGGACAAGATTTGGTTACATGTTAAAAACAATAAAAATGGATCACTTTTGAAAACATTCCATTTGGAAAACATAAAGGTTATATTTGTATATACTTAAAAATAAGATAAATCTGAAGGATTTTAAGAATATTTTATAAAAGGGATTAGTGGTCAATGGTGCAGATCAAAAGAGCAATTAAAGTTAAATGTGACAATTATGTTTGACTAGTGTTAGTTTCAATTAATATAAAAGAAATGTCTTCCTACTAGAACGACGTGTGAATAGGACGCGATTGATGTGTTTTTTAATTTAAGTTAAAAGTATTAGCCATATA